TTTCACAGGGGTCGCCTAAGACCATCGGAAAACAAAAAGATATTTACGATTATAACAGTAGCAAAATTACAGTTATAGAGTAGCAACGAAAATAATTTTATGGTTGGGAGTCACCACAAGATAAGGAACTGTTAAGGGGTTGCGGCATTAGGAAGGTTGAGAACCGCTGCTCTAGAAGATGTGAAGGTCACGAAAATGGATTCTCTCTGGAGAAGCACCAGAAAGGACCACTGCCCGCCAATCCCTTAATTTCAGCCTATTCCTGTTGTTTAAGCCACTAAGTTTGTGGTAATTTTTTACAGCATCGATAGAAACTAATATAATTATTATCATAATTATTATTACCGCTTTTATAATATAATACTTTATAAGGAAAAATATCCTCTTTAATTTAAGGTGTTACAGGAAAAAAACTATAAAGATTTTACTAGAGAAATCTATAAATATGAAAACCGTTAGAGCTTCCCCCTTTTTAGAATATTATTAAATGAAGCCTTAACTTTATATTTTATTTCAGATGATTTATTCAGCAGGTTCATACTCTATTGCCCATAACACAGAGTTCGCTCTTCCTTTGATGTCCAGGACATACTGTATTTTCCTCTGGTAGAAATCACAGGTCCTTCTAGATCCTTTAGACATCTAGCAACCTGGGATTTTGTTTCCTTCTACTATTTTAGCAAAATTAAGATCTGAAAGGTGGTGTTTGATTTTATCTCTGGTGTAAAAATAGCAACTGTTTTCCGTAGCCTTTTGCATGTGAGTTTCTGAGCATGTTGGAGTTGCTGCTACTTGCACATTTTCAACAACAAAGAACACAAAAGCTGTTACCCTTAACCACCAGGTTTTGCTTTAATTCTCATCTGTTGCTCAGATGCTGTTGACTTAGTTTCTTTCTTATTTAAAAAAGATTGATTGCTTTAAGGTTCTTGAGGAGTTAGATGTGTGGTTTAAATATGTGGGGGGTTTGTTCCCATTATTTGCGTTTCACAGATACTTTCCTGAACGTAGGACTTTAATGTAGGTTGTGCAGTTGTACCATGTGTAGTGACACCTGGCCACGGGCACAAGTGGAAACTGGAATTCTGCCTCCCTCTCCTCCTCCAAGCCATGCATCATGGATGTGTGAACATGTTAACAGTGGCAATACTCTTGCTTGTGAAAAGCTAAGTGTTGAGTGCTTTTCTGATATTAGCTGGTCCATTCATGTTGATGATATGCAGTAGTACAGTGTAGCTCATTAGCTAAGTTAACCTTCTCTGGATCCTTTTGAAAAAATGTTGAGGGATCTCATTCGTTTGTATCTTTATATGTATTGTCTGGTTCATGTACGCTTATGCTTTGCTGATTACAGAATTACCTTCTTGCAGATTCAACTATGGCTCTCACACGGGCCTTCAGTTATGGTGGAAAAATGTGCACCTCAAGAACCTGCCAGCTTTGGTAGTTTCCCTGTATCCTCTGTTTGCCTAATATTGAAAGAGAAATTTAGGGGANCTCTCTCTCTCTGCAGACGGTCTGTCTGATAAGAGCTCTCACTCTGGTCAAGGAGCCCTGAATTGTGAGTCTGCCCCTCAAGGGAACTCTGAGCTTGAGGACGCAGAAAATAAAATCAGGAAAGTCAAAAAAACGAAAGAGAAGGAGAAGAAGAAGGACAAGGGCAAACTGAAAGCCAAGGAGAAGAAGCAGAAAGAGGAAGGTGAAGATCCGGAAAGAAAAGTAAAGAGGAAGGGATTTGGCGCCATGCTGAGGTAAGAACCTGCGTTAAAGGCAAAGTTGGTTTCATTTTGGTTTTTTGTTGTTGTTATTGTTGTCTCTCCTGGTGATATCACTCATTTGTGCGCACTCGGAAAAAATGCAAGCTCTCCCTCCTTTTGGGCTAAATGTGTAAAAAAATGTAAACTATGAATATGCTTGTTCCTTTTCTGCAGCGGCAGAAGGAGCCTTCTTGGGTGGCTCCCGAAACTCCTGGTGATGACAGGAAACTGAGAAATCTGTTGTCCAAAGGAAGGCCACAGCTTGGTAGAGGCGTGGGCAGTGACCGCAGCCCTTAGTACTAGAGTGTTATGTGGGTAAATTAAGTGTCACTCCTCACGTGTGACCTCTAGGACGCTCCCTTTGAAATAGAGAAGACAGAGAAGATGAACCTCATCGTCTGCCCCTCCCCCCACCCCATGATTCTCGGTGTGTGAATGGCCAGGCACGTGAGCCCGTTAGCTGTCACCTAGAGAGGCTCTGTGGTCCAGTGGCGATGTCACTGGATCATGAGTCACATGGCCCTGGGTTGAATTTGTGCCTCTCCACACAGCAGCTACTGAGCTTCCCACTTGTTACTCCCTGAGCCTTCTTTTCCCCACTTTCAAAATGAGGCTCGCCTATCTCCTCTCCTGACACCACGGCAAGGTTTCCTGTGCAGTCCGTTCATTGCCTAGGCACGGCTCAGCAGGGTACAATCAGAAAACAACTTCCTTTCGTCTCCTAAAGTACCTTCAGATATGCTCTGTTGTTGCTGTCACAATGTCCACAATTTGATGACATCTCAGTTCTCTAGCTGATGGCTTTCTGGTCGCTTTGGGAATTAAAACAACCACTTTTGCTAGGGTCTAAACATGGAACCTAACATTAATCAAAACCTTCTTCCTCCCTGCCCCTTGGGCCTCAAGGAGGGCCCTGCGGTGTGGTGGCAGGGTCCTTCTGCTTCGCAGCGTCTGCAGCCAGGGAGAAGGAAGGGCAAGGATAGACGTTCACTTACCTGGTCTATCTGCACTAATCTGGCCCCTTTTGTGGTTTTCTCAGGAGACCCCCTACTGCACCCATCACTGATGTAGGCGATTCATTTTTCTCACTGACTTCCTGAGACCCTCTGACCCTTGGCCTCTGACCTCAGACAGTACAGCCCTGCAGTCTCTTTACTCTGGCTGGTAGACTTCTTGGGTGGTGTCAGTTCGGGATGGCTTTAGCCTAATTTCCTTCTGCAGCATCTGCTTAGCTCGTTAGAACTATGGTCTCTTACACCTCCAAACGATGGAAGTACAGCCTGTTCCCACTCCCTCCTCACCCTGTCACAGAGATGTGCCAACCAGCCTGGCATCTTCAGCCTTCCCCAAGGCAGAGTTAGGCACGACTTTGTGTCTCCCCAGCTCAAAGGCCACATGCCAGGCTCTTCCAAGAATGCTCTCATGCATGGGGATGGTCAGTAAATATTTGCAAGTCACCAAGCTAACAGGTAGGAAGTGGGATGACAGTCTGCTTTCATACAATTGCCTTCGTAGTCTCTGAAAGGTTTTCTTGTAGCCTCCTCATTTATTGTGTTGGGGGTGAGATATGGAAGCATCTCTTTCCATTATTTTCTTTACTCCTGTAATTTTTCATCACACAAAATTTCTCTCTCAGCCTCTACCCTCCTCTTCCATGGGCTGAAGGTGAGAGATGAGAAGTGATAGTTGATGGACCAGTGTGGCACCTTATATTACATCCTTAGGAGATATCTCTTTTCAGGATGTGGTAGTATTTGTCATCAGATGTTCTCAGTTGCGATCTTTGACGGAAACGGGAAGCTCCATTTTGTATGTCATTTATTTATTAATAGACATATATATGTATATATG